AGTTTGTCAAAAGAACACAAACTTTATCATTCTAGTTCCATTAGAGCTAATAATAATATTCACTCCGTGGAATTATCCCCAACAGACGCGAACTTTCCCATCCAGGCGTATTCCGCTTCGATTCTTACTTCTAGTTCACTGGTCACCATTCCAAATTCTAATGATAATAACACGTTGAAGGTGGAACCGTCGAACATTCCTTCAATTAATAATGATAATAATGATAATAATGAAAAAACGTGTAATGTAGAAGTAGTACCCTCATCAGATTTTTACATTAGAGGTGGTAAAGGTGGATTTTGGGGAGATCTGTGGCGGATGAGTCTCATTAAAGAAGGAAAACCGACGCCGAAATTTTGGTTGATTTTAATTGTGTTTTTGGCGTTGACATTACTGATTGGTAGGCATTATTTTTAGAATCTTTTGAGATTGTTTAATTTGAATGCAGCGGAAAGATCATTAAAAATTAACAAAATTTTCTTTTTTACCCACTTTTCTCTCCTAGTAATTCCTGTAGTTGTAGCCACACTTAGCCAATCCTCTCCACCCCCTCCACCTCCTTCACCCTCTTCACCTTCTTCACCCCAGCCATCACCACCTATCAAACCAAATAATAATCAAACCATTGCGTCGCCGGTTTAATTGTAAATAAATATCCAATTTATTGTATTCTTTTTTCCAATGAGATTCTAATTATTCTCTTCTAGAAAATGTAGGTCGTAATCCTAAAACGATCGGAGTTTATCCACACCATTCAATATTCCGCAGTCAAACACGCGCAACACTAATCCCATTATGAAAGTGCATATTATATTTAGATATTATATAATGTATTTTTGTACACTATAGTTTATAATAATGACACGGTACGTTATATTATCGGGTTAAATAAATATTTTCACAGCAAATTCTCGCGAAAGTGCCTACGCGCATATTTTTAATATCTTCTATCAAAAAATATGCATTATATTTAGCTACCAACTCATCATTATGTATCATAATGCGAGTGTACATTAACGAAACTTATGTTCAATCAACTGACTTAGCTAATTCATAATTGGTATTAGTAATACCCGACGAATATTCACGCTCTTAGAATAATCATTTTGAACCGGGTTTTTTACTTGGTTGTTGCGCCGATCTTTACATAAATACGTATTTGTTATAGGTGTATTTCTTTGGAAAAGATTCATGCAAATTAAATTATATAATTGGTCTATGCCAAAAAATATCAGAATATTCTTAATCAAAAAAATGAATTTACCAAAGAAAAAGAATTATCCAATAAAACGTGATAGAACATACTAAATTTCAAAAAAAAAATTTAATTTCCGTATATTCATATATTTAATATATTGTATATTAAGTTATAATAAAAAAAATATTTTATTTAGTAATTAATATAAATTTTAAAGTCAAGATTATTTTTCATTTACTTATATTATAAACTTTAAATATATATTTTTTGATTTAATAGAAAATATTATAAGGAATAACTTTACTTATATTTTCAATTCAATATTTTTTAAATTCATGAAATTTACTTAGAAACAAGTGAAGTTTTTATAGTAAATCTTTAAATTTAAATTCAATAAAAAGAATATGTATTAATTTTAAAATTTAAAGTTTACTATAAATATTTCACTTATTTCTAGATAAACTTAATAAATTTAAAAAAATAATAAATTGGAAATATAAGTAAAGTTATTTTTTATCATATTTTTTATTAAATTAAAAAATATATATTTAAAGTTTATAGATAAATAAAAAAATAATTTTAATTTTAAAATTTCTAATAAATTATTAAATAATAAAAAAATTTTTATTATAACAAAAATTTATTTATAATATAAATTAATATCAATATATTTCTTTGTAATAAAGTCTATACACTTTTATTAACAATACTTATATCAAGAGACTTTGGTTTTTCCCACTTGTTTCTTTCTTTCTGTAACATAAATTTTTTGTATTTCTGTGGGTAAATACAAGAAATATTTACCCATAAAGTTAAAGGCAAGAAAACTTTACCAGAAAAAAGAATCTGTAAAAAAAACATCCTCCTTTCTTCTTCCAAAGATTCAAGACTCTAGAAAAGACAGGCATAGGCTCCTGGAATTCTTTTTTTATCTTCCTTAAGCTTTCTTCCTATCTTTTCAAGTATGTAAACTTTTTCTCAGTTTTTTTGGAAAATTTTGCCTATCTCAGTTTGACCCTGAATTTTTGATTATACCGGAATTCTTGAATGATGATTGGTTCGAATTTTGGACTGGTTAATCTATATGTAACAAGAAATATAAACAAGACACATAACTTTCATATGTTCCATCTCGCACAATACCAAATCCGATAATACGATTGGTTCTAACAAAAAGAGCAAGGTGATGAGGTGTCTACTTTGTAAAAAAGAAATTTGAAGCTCTTCTCCCTCCTCTCTTGTATTGGTTTTGTTTTTCTTTAAAGTTGAAGAAAGATCTTATCCCAAGCATAGTAATAAGCTTTTTTTGTTGCTGATTATCTTGAAAATGGTTGGAGAAAGAGGTCTTGAAAGTATCCACTGGTTAAATGAAGCTATAATTCCTTAGAGAACTGGCTGAAAAAGAAATCATCAAATAATATACCAATCCTCTCCAAAGATTAAAAGTTTTCGAGCATCAAGTTTCAAAAATTACTTTCCTGAAAGTACCCTTAAACATTCTTGGTTAATAACAAAATGGTGAAAATTGAATGGGTATCCAGCTATAAATGGTCAGATGCGAGATTAACTTCAAAGAGTTTTTATTTGCCAATACAAACTTTTCACTTTAATACTTCCCTTTTCTTTTTTTTTTCTATAAAAAATAAAATTTTTTTTATCTCCATAGAACTACAACGGTTGTGTAGAGATAACAGTCTTGAAATGAAGGCTGGTTATGAAATTGAGAAAGATAAGAAATGTCTTCCAAGATTAAGTAACTTTTTCATTTTTCTACAATTACACTTAGAGGCCACTAGCTATTGACAGGTGTTTTGCAAGATCGCATAGTTTAGCTTTAGTATAATATTATCTTATATTGTATTACTGTATTTTTGTTAATTAAGACTCATATT